GTTCTTTTGACCATACCCGCGTTTTATCCTTTTGAACCAAATCCGCGTTTTATCCTTTTGGATAAAGCGCGGATATGACTTAAAAAGGGCTGAAAAACGTTTTCTGAACCATATCCGCGTTTTATCCTTTTGGATAAAGCGCGGATACGACTAAAAAAAGGCTGAAAAAGTTTTTTGAAAGCCGTCCGTCCGTCCGCCATCCATCCATCCGTCCGTCCGTCCGTATACGCGTTTTATCCTAACCCGATTTAAAGGTGTTACTGTAATGGAAATAATGTATTTTTAAATGATGTAGCTGAAAAGATCTCTAAACTATTTAGATGTTTGATATTTGTAAATATACTCAGTTAACATAACATAAGCCGAAGGCTATATTTACACACTGCAAATTGTGGGGCCAGTTTCACATAAACTAGATAAAACATAAAACATGAAAATACTTTTTCTATCATGCATATTAGATATGTATAAATAACTTATAAACTTGTACATATCTTAAGCCCAGATTTTCTCACGGGGGCAACAATTTTGCCAGGGAACGCCACTTCATGGCTATCGTATGTTATAGGCTCCAAAGGCGGTAGAATCCCTGTGATGTTGTCCACTGTTCACACCGTGTTCTTTTAAGCATATGTACCTGCTCAAAAATGCAAAATCTTGCAAGCCTGTGGACACAATACTGAAGTGAAGGACGTCAGTAGATTTACATGTAGGAATTTTTTTTGAGCGCTCTCTTTTGCATGATATTTTTTATCTCGATTGTATGCTGCATGATTTTTTTCTTTCTCCTTGGATTGTAGGAAATTTTTTTTCGAAATCTTCCAAACACCCCCCTCCCCCTCAAAAATCAAATGGTCCGCCCCTTTATTTAGCAAGCTATATTGTAATTTCGCAAGCTTAGCGTTTTGTTTGCTATAAAAACAATGTCAATAAAAAATGTCATTTTTTAATGTTTCTAAACCTTACTATATTATCAAAAAGATATTATAACAAATATCGACTTTTCTTGTCATAAAAAATTGATAAAAACGTTGGTCTTTAATTTAGATGTTCCTCGATATTCCCCCTTTTATAGATCTTTAAAGATATTCCCCCACTCCCGATATTCCCAGTTCATTCATTCCCCGTTTTAGAGATAGCTGGTTTATGCAATACGATAGTAAAAAGATACAACTTTAATACATGAAATGGATATTGTTTGAATCCATAGTTAATGCATGGATTTCTCAAGATATTTATTTCGTTTTGAGTGCATACAGTAATATAGAGCGTTAAGCCTATCAAAAAGAGTGTCTTTTACGTAGGCAATCAAATTTCGGAGCCTGTTTAAAAGTGAGAAGGGGGGGGGGGGCAGGATAGCACGGGAGCTATTCCATGCAAGCAGGCTGGATTTTATCCGGTAATTTTTTGTCCCTGTATATTCTTAGGCTTTGCTTATTCATCTATACTTAGGGTTAGACTTATTCCAAGTGTGTCATATTTACAACATGAGCTCCACCTTTGAATTTACCAGTATAATATGAGTAAATTGTTAAACATGTCCAAATCTATTAGAAATATGATAAATTTGCGGCACCTAATCCCAGTCTAACTTTTTTAAGCTTTTTTTTTGAAAATCTAATTTATTGTATTGAAATTTATTGTATTGATAAATTCGGACATGTTTAACCATTTTACTCGTATAGTAAATTCAAAGGTGGAGCTCATGTTGCATATTTACTATGCTAGCTGCTTTTCCATGGGGGGGGGAGTAGGGTCATAATTCCAAGGGGGTGTTTATTGTTTTCCAAAGGGGGCTTGTTCACTGTCTTTCATTGTAAAATCTGTTGCAGACAATACTTGGTTGGTTAGGGTCGAAGGTTTTTTTTCCAAAGGGGGGGCAACAGTGAAAAAAATTCATTTCCAGAGGGGGCTAAACACTATTCCAGATGGGGCAAAACATCTTTCCTAAGGGGTGTCGAGACAGTATTTCGGTTGATTCCAGAGGGCTCAAACAGTAAAATATGGAGGTCCTCGACAGGGGGGGGTACGGATATTAAATGTAATAGCCCAATTCATCATGGAGGATGAATTGAAGGCCGTTAAAAATTCTCTTACTCGTGTGGCTGACACACTTGAACGAATAGAAAGTTCTCGATCTAGCCCAGGTATGTCAAACTTCTTTGAATGGTATAAACATTAATGTTTTTTAGATGAATATGGTTTGATTATAAATACGAGGATTAATAATTTATAATTGTGCTTTTATATTGTTCGGCGCCAATTGGCGGTTTTGCTGGCACATGGCGTGATGGCAGCAAATTGTTGTTTAATATATTGGTGTTGTCTAAAGTGGTTCAATCGTTTATTCATTTCTGCCAGCCTGTACTACAGCAATAAGTAAACAAAACAAGTCACTTATATTGAACAATATTTTATTTTATTGTTGTGCATATTGAATTATTTAAATTATGTTATCGAAGTTCACTTCGCTCAGCAGCCAGCTATATTTACAATAAAATAAAATATTGTTCAATATAAGTGACTTGTTTTGTTTACTTATTGCTGTAGTACAGGCTGGCAGAAATGAATAAACGATTGAACCACTTTAGACAACACCAATATATTAAACAACAATTTGCTGCCATCACGCCATGTGCCAGCAAAACCGCCAATTGGCGCCAAACAATATAAAAGCACAATTATAAATTATTAATCCTCGTATTTATAATCAAACCATATTCATCTAAAAAGCATTAATGTTTATACCATTCAAAGAAGTTTGACATACCTGGGCTAGATCGAGAACTTTCTATTCGTTCAAGTGTGTCAGCCACACGAGTAAGAGAATTTTTAACGGCCTTCAATTCATCCTCCATGATGAATTTAGCATGATTATAAAAGAATCAAAGATTCCAAGAATTTATATATGACGTAATTATGACAAGTTTGTATTACGTAATTTTGGCGGCTTTTGTACAAGGGGCGGCAAATGGCAATTTTCAACTTGACAAATGGCAATTTTCAACTTGACAAATGGCAATTTTCAACTTGACAAATGGCAATTTTCAACTTGACAAATCGCAATTTTCAACTTGACAAATTGCAACTTTGAACTTGACAGATCGCAACTTTCAACTGTGCAAATCACAACTTTCAGTATAGCAAATCGCAACTTTTGATATTAGATTTTTTTCACCAAGTTCATTGTTGCATGCAGGAAAGTCGTTAAATGTTTGCGTGGTAAACAATTGTCAAAAGCCGTATGAAAAATTATGGGCAAAATTAAATGTTGATTCCCCATGTTAAAAGTCGAATTGCAATATTGATTTTTGGCGGTGATGGAACGCCATACTCTCATGCACCACGCCATGGAAAACCTGCACCCTTCCTTAGCAGATGAGGCTACATCCGCCCATGGTGTGACTCCAATTGGAATTATGCGGAACAAGTTCCTCTGAAACTGCCAAACCGGCCAGGTATTCCAAAGTTGCTCCTGATGATGGTGGAAATTTTGAGTGAAAATTACATTCCTAACCAGGAGCAGATCTTCGAAAACTCTTCAACATTCATTAATGGCTTAGACTTTGTTGCACTGGTATCAGGGGCGTAGCCAGAGCCCTGATTTTGGGGGCGAGCGCATTTAAGGGGTGTCGGGCGACATCCCCGCCAGGGAAATTTAAAATTCTAGGGTTTTGAAATTCTGGATTCCGCCATTCTGGAGGTTTAAGCAAGAAAATTTACGAGACCATCCATATCAAGTTAATGGAAACGATTATTTTATTAATTTCGTAATTCGCGTATCCTTACCTGCCTTATATGGGAAATGTAGGTGATTGGGCGATAAATTTTAACACTCACTTATTGAACTAATAATTCGCCAGAGAAAACAAGTTTTTTTCATGGGATCATTACTGTTATAAAATATGCAGATAAATATGCAGAGAAGTCTACATCAACTTTACATGACAGCAACAGCTAAACACAAGCTTTTTCTAATTTCTGTAGGCACACGGTTTAAAAACTGTATACCTCTATTGTTAATAGTAAGTTAAAAAAGTCCAGACCAGTAAATAAGTCAATATGAAACAATGGTCGTTAAAGAATATAAAATTCATAAAATGTTTCGTCTAAACAGCCTTTGCCAGGAAGTCTAAACCAAATTCATTCTTCTGGGAGCACAATCAGTAAACTTCTGAACTAGGCTGTCCAAGTCAAGATTCTCCAGCAAATCCACTTCCACCGACATGTGAATAAGGTTTTCAAGCCTGTTTTGATTCATAGTAGATCTCAGTCGCGATTTGACTATCTTCAACTTCGAAAACACTCTTTCGGCACTACATGAAGTGACTGGAAGTGTTAAAGCAATTTTCATCAATTTGCTAACGCAAGCATAACACTGGGGTTCAGCCTGTAACGCCTTGAACAAATCAAGAAAATCGGGATTCCGTTTCTCAGATACGGCCTTTTCAATGACATCTGTTACCAATGATGATAGCTGTAACGAAAATATTTCACTCTCCAAAGCCTCCAAATCAATATCATTCTGGAACCATTTTGCCGCTACAGAAATGCTTTCCCATGCTTGTGAATGCGATATTCGAGCAGGATGTAGGTATCCGAGGCCTTTGAGGACAGCTGTACTTTCCATGTTAAAACGAGTTTCAATCGAGTTGCTCATCAGGTCCAGTACCTAATTAAATAAAGATTGTGAAATTTACCACCTCTAAGACATTGGTCACATTATGAATCGTTTTAAAAACTCACATTGTAGAAAAAGAAAATTTTAAACTTGTCTTTGACTGAAACCTGAGCGGCTGTATCTGGGTTCTCATCCAGTCTCCGAGGAACCTTGCGAGGACGCTTTTCTTTTGGCTCCTCGATTCCCAATTTTGCGCATCTCTCTAGGGTTGCAAGCCAGAAATCTTCAAACTTCACATCGCATCGAAGAGCCTTAATTGCAGTAAAAAGATCAGCTACTCTCTCACATCCTGAAACAACGTCGAGGCCTTCGGACTGAAGCTTGTCTGAAACCCCTTTACTAAGATGCAGCACCTTTTTTAGCACCTTGCGATAAAATAGAACAAATTAAAAAGAACAGTTTTCATTATACGCATATTTTTTTTAAAAAAATAACAGTTCAATTATTCAAATTACCTCTAGAGCAACAATGAATTCGAAGTCTTGAACATTTTGCAGCAGTCCCTTTGCCTCAGCTGCAATGGCCGCCTTTGTTTCATTTTCCCTAACCTCCTTCAGCGTTGCAATTACAGCATCTAAAGTACGGTGTATTCCTACTATACTGTCTGCACGACAAGCCCATCTGGTATCAGATAGCTTCTTAAGGGTATACTCCCTTTTTTCTCCTCCTCTGGCATGGGCATTAATTTCCCTCTGATTCTTCACATAAACACTATGTCGCTTTGGGCAAGACTGGATAAAGACATACAAGTTCTGTAACGTTCCAAAGAAATCTCGGGCAATCTTGTTTTTGCTCATAGTGTCCACAATGACAAGGTTGAGAATATGTGCATAGCAATGAGTATAGAGAGCAGAAGGTGAAACCTCTTTAATTCGTGCTTGCAGGCCAGTGTGCACTCCTGCTACATTGTTTGCACCGTCGTAACACTGTCCACGCAAGTGAGCAACATCTATTCCATGTTGCTGTAGCTTTTGAGTGACAGCCCCAAAAAGAGCTTCTGCTGTTGTTTCATTCATCGGCATCATCGCCAGCAAACGTTCCTCAACTTCGCCATTCCAAACAAATCGTACAAGCAATGACAACTGTTCAGTTTGGCTCATATCCGGTGTTTCATCGGCAATTATTGCCGCATAAAACTTTGTCTCTTTAACTCGTCGTATAATTTCATCCAAAATGCTAGAGCCAAGAATTACTATCATCTGATTTTGAATTTCAGGCGAGGTGTATTTTGCATTGTCTACAAATTAACCAAGCATCAAGTAATAAAGTATTATGTATGTATGTTTATGTATCAAGTCAATAAAGTCATTAGTTATAGGAGTATTTGGTATAAAAATGCAAAAATAGGTACGCACTGCGTACATGTTGCATGCCATCTGAAACTTATGATCATAGATATCTTATATAAGATATATATGCTTATGATGCGCTATAGCGTTTATAACCTTTGGTACAACTGGCGTGAAACTTAAAATATCGATTCAATAAATTTAATATCAATATATTTATGTCAAAATAAGAAAACTTAAGACTCTCACGCGAATTTGCCTACGGTGTAGACCCCAGCAGAAACACGCGAATATAGACAATGTTTTTTAAGCGACCGTTAATAGTTAGTTGCAAGCGACGGTAATAATAACATTAAAGGGAGGCAAGGGACCCTACAGTCATTTTTTAGTCGAAAAGCCACCTTAAGTAGGGGACTCCACGGAGATTCGTTTGGCTGTATCTTACATGTAGTATCCATGAATATGAGTACTTCCGCACACCGGAAGACGCATGCATGCCGTGATGCGCATGTCAAGTAGCGACAATAACAAAAATGTAAACAATACTTACTTGACTAAAAAATGACTGTAGGGCCCCTTTAACAATGTCAAGGCGGGTCAAGGTTTTATCAAAAGCGATTGACTGTTAGATTTACTTTACAAATTAATAACTAAATAACGTTATTTCCTATAGATATAGCTTTATTGTAACTTTTTAATGGGTATAAAAAACCCGTGGAAACGGTGAATTACTACAATAGATTGAAAATGATTAGTATTACTATTTATCATTTTGACGTTTGAGTGATTGAAATCAGTTAATTTGCACTATATCGAATGTCATGTTGAATCTTATGCGTACTTCACAATGGTTGCTATTTCGTTGTATATTTCAATCTCGATTTCAATTGTATTACTATTTATAATTTAAATTGTGTTTGATATTTATATTTCATGTTGTTTACAAAATGTGCTGTAGTTTTGAAGCTTTGCACACAATATTATCAGGGCGAGCACAATGGCTCCGTTTCAGTTTGAGTATATAAAAATCGAGTATTTTGATAGCGTTCGCGGCTTTCAATTGTATTACTATATTTATAATTTAAATTGTGTTTGATATTTATATTTCATGTTGTTTACAAAATATGCTGTAGTTTTGAAGCTTTGCACACAATATAATCAGTGCGAGCACAATGGCTCCGTTTCAGTTTGAGTATATATAAAAATCGGGTATTTTGATAGCGTTCGCGGCTTTGAGGCTTTCACGATATATAAATATAAACGCGTGATAGTTGATAAATAATCAGTGCGAGCACAACGGCTCCAAAATCACAACAAATAACAAAATTTAAGGTAAGTTAAAACAGTAAAGCTTTACCTACCTGATTTATTTTTCTAAGGCGCTCGATTATGTAAATTTTCGGCGAATAATCATCAATATATAAATTTTCTTTGCGTTTCCTCGACGAAAACCCGGCATGAAAATGCTCGTCGGAAACTCGGTATTTGTCGTATTTTACGAATCTGCCACGTGACTGGTACGCTCACCGACCACCGCTCACCGAACACGACACGAAATTTAGAGCTATATGATTATGGAATTTATTTACATTACCAGGAGAGGTAGTTAAATGATTCTGTAGCACTATGTCGCTTTTAGCAATATGAGTAATAAATTCTTTAAATACACCCTTATTCATTGATTGCTCATCCTCACGACGCCCTCTGAAAGGCAAGTTCAGCTTGCCAACAGTTCGAACGACATCAAATATTTTGCCAATGACACTTCTATTTGTTCTCACCTAAAACATAATTCACGTGCAACATGTCAATATCTTAATCGAGAAGGTAGTACCTCAGGCCTTTAAGTTTGAAATATCAGGTAAACATGTTTGTACAAATATTTATACATCTCTTGCATGTCTAACCAATTGCTGGCGATACGATTCTTGCTTCGCCGCTTCTTCACTAATTTGGTGATCCACTGGTTTTTGATATTTCCATTGACGATATGCTTGGCTGGAATGCCGATGGCAATGAAGGCTGGGTCACCTTTTGATGCAACCTAAACACATTATATATAGCCATGCAGCCATTTATAGACAAACTGAGTAGATTATTTTTCCCCATTTGAAAAAATGAGAATGTTTGGAAACTAATGTCATACATTGACAAATTCAGCTAAACAACTTATAATACACGATCACTATAAATAAATGTACTAAACGTTTTAATACCTGGGAATTAAAGACTCTACAATAGAAACAAAATACTTTATTCTTTGCCGCTGAATATTCCAGCCACTTAAATTTATCGTATGAGATGCCGAAAATTTTCGTTTTCGCTTGTCTTCCGGAAAAGAAATATTCTTTGGCTGGCATGGCCCTTTGCTTATTACGTGATCTCTCGATTCTTTCCCTGTAGGCAATGGAGCGGAAGGATCATATGAATAATTCATCAGATCTGAAGGAACTTCCGCCATTTTGATTTTGCAATTAAAACAGCATGGAACTTGATGTAAGCCTAATACCTAGTTTTTCAACCACATAAAAAATTAAGACATTTCTGATACACGTACTTAATTCACGTACTTGCGTGCTAAATTTTCCCAAAAGATATAAATTAACTCATGAGATAACCCCCCCCCCCCAATTTTCTACCCGGATTTCAACGTTTTAGAAAAATGGTTTCTCGAACGATTGGGGGGGGCGACCGCCCCCCCCTTGCCCCCCCCCTTGGCTACGCCCTTGACTGGTATACGAACTTGGAACACTGATTTTAGTAATTGTCAGTAAAAATTGGTGTCTCTATACAGAGTAAATCTATTATATTGAAGCTCCCCAGAGATATTATTGATTCAGAACACTGCATAAGACGCATAACAGCACAAGAATCGCAGGACTTCTAGTTCAATTCTTGCTGAAGCGCAAAATTGGGCAAATTTAGAGAAAGAAATTGAGGGAAGATGAAAGAAAACCGGTACGTGTATTGAAAATATCAAGTAGGAAATATGTTCGGTCGCCCCTCCCCACCCTGTCGCCAATATTTCCGGACATTAGTCTCCCCCCCCCCAACAAAAAACTGTTCCTCCACCACTGGGGGCTATGCTTCGCAGCCGGTCTCTGTTAGGGCAAAATGTGTACATAATTTTCCCTCGAAATTAATTTCCACGTACCAACAAAATCCTTCAACTATCTTATCTGCATGGAGTCACGGATCTTGTGAGCAGAAATAGTAAAATTATCCAAAAAATCCAATCCGAGAATGTCAATTAACCAATCGGGGTTCTTGCCTCTACGACTTGCATGACCCTCCGTGCGTCCCTGTGAGGTATACATTGACAATCTTTGACAATATATACATTGGGACCAGGGACGCCGGAACTGGGGGGGCAGGGGGGGCGGCTGCCCCCCTTGCCTTTTGCTAGGGGGGGGCAGGGGGGTCAGAAGTGCCCTTTTAGTTGTAAAATAATACGTGATAAGTCACATTTCCAATGATGCTTTTTGTAGGAAAATCACGAGATTCAGGTAATTTACAGTTTATATTTATAAAAATTTCGGGAAATTTTTGGAATTTAGGAAAATAGTTAGAAGAAATGGCAAGATATCCGGAAAAATTTTTGGCTTCACGGAAAATTTTTGTATGTCCGGAAAAAATTTTTGACCCCTAAAATGGTACAGTGACCGAAATTTTTTTGGCGACGGGGGGGGTAAAGGTGCCCTTGGTGTGCGTCCGCCCCCCTTTGCCCTATTATCGTTCCGGCGTCCCTGATTGGGACAATCTAGTTTTACATGCATTCAGATGTATTAATACCATTTATACATGGATCTTTAACCTTATAACTAAAATTTTGATTTAGACAAGTCTAGACAAAAATTTCATCACAGCTTGAAAGAGCATCACAAAATTAGTAATATTCCGAAGTTTCGTTACGAAATGTTGTAAAATGCGGATAATATAGCCCTGCGAAGTTTGCAATTTTCAGTCATTTTAGATTACAAACGGGAAATTCACTGCCTCGTCCCCAGTCGCTTGCTATCAAACAATTAATTCATGGATGACAATTAATTAGGAAAAGACGAAAGTTAATGGGGGCGCGCGGAATGATGGGAAGGGGAGGAGTTGTAATTTTTCCGTCTTCCCATTTTCCTTTGCGCGCTCGTCTTTAGTTGCGGGCGTGCGTCTTTATCGGGCTTGCAGTGCACGCGCTGATCTATATATTACCGATATTTAAATTTGATCTCAACCTCGTACCCAGGGCTTCTGCGCTTATTGCTCTCAGCAATAAGCGCAGAAGCCCTGGGTACGAGGTTGATTTGATCTATATAGAGGAGCCTGCGGAGGAGGCAGGGAAATTCATACCCAAACACCCGATTTGGGGTATCAATTTCCCGTTTGTAATCTAAAATGACTGAAAATTGCAAACTTCGCAGGGCTATATTACCGCATTTTACAACATTTCATAACGAAACTTTGGAATATTACTAATTGTGTGATGCTCTTTCAAGCTGTGATGAAATTTTTGTCTAGATCAAAATTTTAGTTATAAGGTTAAAGGTCCATTGCGCGCAGAAGATATTAGACAACCACCCTAATTTTAGCGGGTGTCCTTAAGGTGCGGGTCATTAGTACTCGATTTGTTGTTATCCTTATTCTGTGTTGTTATTTTAAAGTTTATATAAATATTTTCAACAAAACTTAATTATGAGGGTATTGAAACTTTCTTTTGCATGGATGTTTTACCTGTTGTTTCTCCATACTACAAAGGGTTTTTACTTGCCTGCTTTAGCGCCAATTTCGTATTGTGAAAAACAAGATAGTGTCACAGATGAGGTAAGTACAGATGTGAATCTCCTGTGAAATTGCTGATTGTTTTGTGTCACACGGAATTCTCACTTCCGGCGAGCGCTGGCAAGTGTCGTTCTGAAATTTAATAAGGAAAGAGATAGGAAAACGCCGTTCGAAAGACGAAAAATTGTTTTTTTAAAAAGTCTACGCTACCGACGGCTATTTTTGGAATTAATTCTTCAAGAGTAACGGTAAGCGATCACTTTTATTGATTTCTTTTTATTAAAAGTGTTAATATAACATTTTATTTAGCAAAAGTTTGTTTTTTTCCCTATCTACTTCTTATTAAAATCGTGAAATACACTTGCTGGGAATTTCAGATGCTCGTGCATAAATAACAAAACAGCGAATGATATAAATTCCTCAAAACATAACTCTCGCATAAAAAAAACATGAATACTTCTATAATATGTATAGTTTTATTCCTCTGCATTATCAAAATTTAATAAAATAGTGAATTAATACAATTTTAAAGTTTATTTAATCCGTGTGACACATTTTCACAGGAGATTCACATCTGTATTACCTCATCTGTGATAGTGTCGAGGGAAAATGTGAGGTGAGTAGCTTCATTGAATATCTGATCTTGAAACAGCAGGAGCCAGTTGTTCAAAGCTGGGTTAGCTTAACCATAGGTTAACCAAAAATTCAAAGCAAACTTCCTCACAGCTTGTCTATGAATTTAGAAATATTTCTTCAGAGATCTTGTCTGGATCATAGTATAATTAACTAATGTCTGGATCGATAGGAGTTTACTTCTCTGAAGTTTTGAAATAAACAGACGTGTAATTTAACCCAGGGTTAGCGCTAGCCGTTAGCGCAGTAACCCACCTTTGAACAACCGGCCCAAGGTGAATAAAGTTGAAAGAAGCTGTATTTATAAACTCTTGTTTATTTACACTGTATGTGACAGTTTTAGCTATGAAATTGTAGGCTTTTACCGAAAATTAGACCATCGATGACTTATGCATCAGTCAATTCAAGCTGCGACCACCCCTCCCCCCTGGGACAACCCCCGGGTATTGGTTAATTTTCATTTTTGTTGTACGAATGCCCGGGGGTAGGGCAAAAAAGATTAAAGAAGGAACATTGCCCCAAAATTTGTCCCATTGGGACAAAAAGCAAAACAAATGCCCCACTCCCGGGCTGACAAATTAGTCAATTTTAAAGAATGTACTAAATTAATTGCATGCATTTTAACAATTTATATTTCTACCTCTGTTCATTGTTCATTTGGTGATTTAAAAAAAACGAGGAAACCTATTGTGTTCACTTCAGATGAAAACATTGACGAAAGGCATGTGACACACTTGATTTTGTTGCAGAAAGTTTTTCATTGCTTTAAAATACAATATATATAATATGGACTGAAGGAAATCTTAATTATCTAGGCCTTCTTTCACCAGGTAAAGTCGTCCATTTTGGCATACAACAAAGGAAACTTGTCGCTGTGGTCTTTTCTCTGTAAGCGACAAATGCTGGGGGTAATAACCCGATATTGACAAATGCCCGGGTGAAAACGCAGCCGCAAATGCCCGACCGTGGGGACAAGTAAGCGTAATTATAGTAACTGTCCTGTGGGGGATGGTCGCAGCTGGAATTGACTGATCCATTAAAGTCCTTAAATGTTGTAAAAAATTCTATGTTGCTTAGTTTTGTTCACTGAAGTGTCGCCCATCACAAGTTATTAATTAATTACAGTAAGTGAGAAGTATAGATGAGAAAGCCGTTTATTTTCATTTTAGTACTCATAGTGATTGCAATTGATGCCTTGACAATGTTGAATTGCAGTATTATATTATAGCCTTACCAAAGCCACTGCACATATCATAATTAAATGCATACTAACCTATTAAAGGTCCTGAGGAAAGTTGGTCGCTCCTCAGCCACAGGAGATCCACCCGCAACTTTCTGAGTGTTGCCTCAAAGCTACTGCATAGCCACACCTTCATAAAATTTGCAGCTGCACTTTGTGTTTCTGCCATTAACATTTCAGCAGTTAGGAATATTTACAGCATGTGTCCCACTTTGTTATTTTACTGAAACCAGCAATGTTTAATAAAACCACAAGACATTAGTCAAGTAGTCTAGTGGACACACAAAGTCGCATTGTCTACTGCATTGGAGCATTTACAAAGCAGCCCCCCTACGAGGTTTTCAATACATCTGCTTTGCCCATGCGGGTGATGCGGTCACTATGAGCATGTGCCATAAGGTTATGGCATGACCACGAGCGGCTCCGCTTGTGACAAGCGTACGTGCACATGCAAATTTTCGACTTTCAAAGCATGCACTACAATCATTTGCCCTGTGGGGGCAAAGTAGGTATATAAACCAGGTGATCTTGATATGCGGAAAAGTACTGGCACTAGTTGTCAAATAGAAATCCATTTTATGATTAAAACAACTGAATATCTCCTGTAATATACTTTATTTCGATTCCATATTTTTGGCAGAGCTATAGTTCTCATAACCAAACATAATTACAAAATTTCAACTAGTTTCATAAAGAATAATGAAAGATATAATTGACTGAATACATCAAAATGGATTTCTATTCGGACAACCCTTTCTGAGCGCTGATTGGCTAAAATACGAACACAAGATCACCTGGAATGGAAACTGGCCTTAGTT